TCTAATGGAATCCAAGAGGTATCCGATGGGAATCCTATTGGCTCCCCTCTCACTCCTATGGGCACTAGATGGATATCATTGGAATCCAACAAGATTCCTCGCTGTGGAGCCTACAAATATCCGGTTGGAATCCGATAAGGACGTTTCCAATTGAAAACATGTGGGCCCCTCCTAGAGGAAACCGATTGGAAACCACATTGGATTACAATTGAGGAACCGTCCTACTGGAATGCTGCGGAAAACGCAATGGGGTACTGAATGGAAACCCAGTGGGTCCACATGTTGATTCTTATTCGAAAACAGCAGGAACAATCTCTCTTGGGATCCCATGGGAGCCATATTGGCGAATACGACGGATGTCGCACTGGAATGTAATCGGAGTCCTTCCTTTTTCGATTCACACGGGCATGCAATTGGGATCCCACCCAAACCCAACTGTAACCAAACAAGAACCTGTCCTCTCTGAGTCATACTGTAACCAGAGTGGCGTCCTATTGTTATCCTTGTGGTATCCAAAAGGAACTATTGGAACCTAGTTGAAATTCACTAGGGATCATCCCGCCTCAGGCTGGTGACAGGCCTGGGCAGTTTCAGCTCTGTTTACATATGCGCCCCTAAATATACATCGTTTTGGGGGGAGCCTCATGACCTCTGTCTAGAAATCTTGGTTCTCCTGACAATAGAAAGACAGTAAGCGTTCGCCGCAAAAGACGCAAAAGGAACACGCGCGCTCCCAGGAGGCCGGACATGTGGCCAAAAAGACCGCTGGTAGCACTCTAGCCAATACGTGGGAATTTCAAGAGCATCAGAAGCCTCTGCAAGGCGCTCAGTCGCCCAGAAGCCTCAGAAGCCCCTGCAGAACGCTCGGGCGTTCAGAAACCGTTGCAAAGCGCCCAGGCGCCCAGAAGCCGCAGATGCTTCTGCAGGGCGCTCAGGCGCCCTCTGCAGAGCGCTCAGGCGCTCAGAAGCTTCTGCAGAACGTTCAGGCGCTCAGATGCCTCTGCAGAACGCTCAGGCGCTCAGAAGCTTCTGCAGAACGCTCAAGCGCTCAGAAGCCCCTGCAGAGCGCTCAGGCGCTCAGAAGCCACTGCGGAGCGCTCAGGCGCTCAGATGCCTTTGCACAGCGCTCAGGCGCTCAGAAGCTTTTGCAGAGCGCTCAGGCGCTCAGAAGCCTCAGAAGCGTCTGCAGGGCGCTCAAGCGCTCAGAAGCCCCTGCAGAGCGCTCAGGCGCTCTGAAGCCTCAGACGCCTCTGCAGAGCGCTCACGCACTTCTGAAGGCTGGCTGTAAAGTGGCCGTTCTGGTTGTAAAGAGCCCCGTCTGGATTGTAAAGTGGGCCGTTCTGGTTGTAAAATGGGTTGTCCTGGTTGGAATGGGGTCGTCCTCAAGGGAAAACCATCAAGTTCGATCCGTTGCTGCTTGTACAATGACCCATATCGGTTGTAAGATGTCGTTCGGGTTGTAAAGAAACCGACTCTCGTGTCCGGGACCCCAGCGTCGGCTGGATCAGCATCGGACGCAAGGCACGTGGCACAGATCACGGATCCGCGCCCGATCCACGCATCGGAGAAGATACCCCCCCGAAACACGAGGCCCGTGCCGCCCGGTTCCGCACGGCGATGTGACCCGTCGCTACTCCCCGCGCCCCAGTCAGTGGTTGTCGCTCCTCGACGGCAGGCGTAGGGTCCGCAGTGGGTCGCAGACCCCTTCCCCCCTCCCCCCCCTCCCTTCCAGAGGCCTCGGCAGCGCGGTCTGGAGTCCTCTTCTTCCAGCGCGGCCTCCTGGAGTGGTCCCAAGGCGTGTCCTCGAGCTCTCTGGGGGGCCACTTCGGCCGTCGTGGAGGCACTGAGGGCTCGCCCAAGAGGCCCAAATACTCGAAGCACGTCAAGGTTATACATTCATATATATATATATATATATATATATATATATGGTTTTCGCAGACTCACCTATTTGGCATGGAGAGCGTCCAAGACGGCCTAAGAAAGCCCCCAATATTGCTCCAGGACTGCTCCCGAAGTCCCAAGACGGCCCGAAGAGTGGGAACACGGACTGACATTTCGAGTCCTTTCCTCCGAGATGGCGCCCAAACCGCCAGCAGGTCACCAAGAGGCCCCGAAGACTCTTCTAAGAGGCTCTTAAGAGGTTTCCAGGCCTCGTGCCCACGACCCAGGCACGCTAGCGAGTTGGCCTGGCGATTATACTACTATGTGTAGCGGAACCTTCTGGCCAACCCCAACCAGCCCCTGGCCAACCCTCCCGACCAACCTGGGATCCCTGCCCACAAGCCCATCCGCCCCCCTCCCGCCCCCTGGCCCACACCATGGGGAGGGATGGGGGCTGCGCCAGTCTAGCTCTTTGGTTGACTCAAAAGGTGGTCCAGCTGAAAGGGAGTGGTGCAGTAGATTTGAGGCAATTGTACTGCAAATGTATTGCGCCAAAGAATTGTACTGCAACTGATGTACTATCGCATGCGAAAACCCAGCAATACATTTGCGCACCAGAATGTAGTACTCGCCCCGTTCCTCTTGCAACCCCGCAGATCTATGGCACCACATCGATTGCACCATCTTCTTTTCGCTGGACCTTCTTTTGGGCCAACAAGCTGGCCACGCGCAAGCCACTGCCCTGCCTGCACAAGTGCCGGGGGTCCCGTCCGGGGCAACGGCGGGGGCTCTGCAGGCGCGAGCGGGCGCTGGCGGCGTGAGACCCCACAGGGTGGTCCCTGCCGATGCAGATCCATGGGTGGCGGGTGCAGGGCTCAAATGCCGCCGCCGATGCTCGGCTGTCCTGCACATCTGCTTCCAAGCGCCCCGCCACATGGCGACGTGCGGCCGCCCGGATGCGCGGCCCGCGGCCCCCGGAGCGCGTGCTCGCGCGGGGCTCGACGCGCAGGAGGCGCAAGTCGGGCGCGGGGCGATCGGCGAAGCGTGGGCCCACACGTTTTGGTCCCAGCGCTGGCGGTCCCGCAGCGCGGTCGGGGCGGCAGACCAGGGCGCGGAAACGCTATACTCTCCATCGCTCGGACGTCCATTCCCCGCTCATTTTTCGATTACGTGCGTGTATTTTCCGCTACATGATCAAAGATGCTCCTCGATGGTTCTCGCCGAGAAAAAATGCACACGTCCGAACGATGCCAAGAGGTAACGGAGGCGGCCGCGGGGGAGAGGCGAAGGCGGGGCGCACGCTCTGAGCGACGCACTGGCCAGCATGTGTGGAGTCAGCACGCGGCGTGCTCCGCCTGGACGTCTCGAGTGCACGGCGCGTGCCACGTGCACTCGGGCTCGATTGGACAGGACACGCGAGAGGACACAAGACCCTTCCCAGCGCCACACTGCCACAGGAACGCGGGAGGCATAGGTCACGACCACAGGACACGAGGGTACCCCTTGATTTGGCAGCATCGACCTACTACAGTGCGGGCGCGGCCGCAAGAAACCCTCACCCTGAAGACCCGCGCGCGAGATGCACCTGAGGGGAAACCCGAAGAACCCTGAACGCATCAGCTTCTTTGATGGCCGCGGGGAGCCACCGCGCAGCGCGCGGAGCGAAGAAACCAAGGGTACCCTGACGAAAAGCATATGGTTTCTTGATGTTTCTTGATGCGCGCCCTCAGGGAGGAGGAGGAGGAGGAGGAGGAGGAGGAGGAGGAGGAGGAGGAGGGAGGAGGAGGAGGAGGAGGAGGAGGAGGAGAGGAGGAGGAGGAGAGGAGGAGGAGGAGGAGGAGGAGGAGGAGGGAGGAGGAGGAGGAGGAGGAGGAGGAGGAGGAGGGAGGAGGAGGGAGGAGGAGGGAGGAGGAGGGGGAGGAGCGGGCGGGAGGGGCCCAAACTGCATCAACACGGAGGGTTTCGGGGCGGCCCCCCCGGGGAGGCGTCGCGAGGGCCACGCTCCAGGCCACGGCAGGCGCCACGAGCTGGCCCCCGGAGGTCCCGACGGTCCCGACGACGGACGGACGCGGACGACGACGACGACGACGACGACGACGACGACGACGACGACGACGACGACGACGACGACGACGACGACGACGGCGGCGGCGGCGGCGGCGGCGGGCCCCTCCCAGGGCACGTCTGCTCGGGGGTGCGGCACGTTTAGCTTCCCCTGAATGGGACGCACGGGGACATACTACTGCTGTGTGTCCTCCTTGGAGGCGCGCGTCCGACCCGAACATCCAGTAGACCCATCTTGGAGTGGATAGTCTCCCGAGCGGCGTGGCCAGAAAGCGCCCGCCACGACGCATGTACTGCAAGATTTCCCGGTGCGCGCGTCGCCCCTGTGGAGGGCGACGCACATATAGTATAAGTATGTTGGGGTGACGCCGACTGATGCTCACACGAGCGCGGGGGTGACCCCCACCGTCTCTCGCAACTCTCTCAAAAGCTTCAATCAACCAAGCAGCAGCTGCTCCCAGGCGCCTGCGCATGTTCTCCTGCATGATGGCGAACCTCTGCATGTATGGATCCTCGGCAAGCTTACAGTCGGGGAGTTAGTCTGGAGAGGGTAAGACTGAAGAGCCTGCGGCAAGGAATGGGAAAAAGGCGACTGTGGCGTAGGAGGAGAGAAGAAAGGAGCGAGAGGAGAGGAGGGGAGGAGAGAAAGGGAGAGCAGAGAGTAGGAGGGGAGAGAGGTGGAAAGGAGAAAAGGGTAGGATAACAAACGAGGAGAAGAGACGATAGCAGAAGGAAGTGTAAAACTGGGGCTGGGGCGAGGGGGTCAGCGTGAACGAGTGCATCATCGCCCCAGTCTGTCCTCGCTGACCCTTCGCCCTGCCTGGGCTGCGTGACTCTGTCTTAACCGAAGTAGTTCCAAGTCTGGCTTAGCCAGAAAAGCAAAGGCAGCATCCGACCAGGGCACTTGATGTCTGAAATCGGCGCCCAGCGACGCCCCGTGCCCCCCAGAAACTCAAAACAATGTGGTCACGCAACGCACGTCTCCAATGCAGCCTCCCAACCCCCAGTGGGGGAGGAGGAGGAGGAGGAGGAGGAGGAGGAGGAGGAGGAGGAGGAGAAGAGAGGAGGAGAGGAGGAGGAGGAGGAGGAGGAGAGGGGAGGAGGAGGAGGAGGAGGAGGAGGAAAGGGAGGAGGAGGAGGAAGAGTAGGAGTAGGAGTAGAAGTAGGAGTAGGTTCAGGAGGAGGAGGAGCAGGAGGAGGAGGAGAACGAAGAGGAGGAGGAGGAGGAAAGGAGGAGGAAGGAGAAAAGGAAAATGAGGACCAGCGATCCCCGAACGGCCCCGTGTGACTGCATCAAAGGTGCTCAATCCAGCTCGCCATCCCGACCGCGTGAAGACACATTCCGAATCCGACGGATACTCAATAACGCGCACACGCTGCCGGGCGTTTGAAACACGTGGCCTGTCATCAACGCCGAGCACAGTCGGTCAGCCACGGGTGGGCGGGCGAGGAAGTGCGCGATGGATCGCATGCGTATTGCAGGGCCTACGGCCATAGGTGGGCTCGCTGCCGCGGTCTCCGTAACGACCATCCTAATTAGGTACAATGCCCCAAGGCCTGTTCGAAGCACCGCCATTAACGATGCAGGTCTTCATCGTACTCCCGCCACCATCGGCCGAGAGGCCGCGTTAGATCAGGAAACAAGAGATCCGCACCCTCGATATGAGCAGCGCAGGTGAAGAAAGCAACTGCGAGGTGCAGCTTAACGCATTCGCTTGAATATTGGCGACCCCGGGGGGAATGTCTCAACAACGGACGGACACACCTGACCAGACAAAAACGGGAAGCGCCGACAGTCCATTGGGCTCGCGAAGAAAAATCAAGGGTGGCGGATGACGATGGTGACGGCGTGAATGACGGAGAGGGGCGCGAAGGGGGCAGGAGGACAACGAGGAACACAAGCACGAGGACGAGGGGGAAGAGATGGAAGAGGACGAGTACGGGGAGGAACGAAGTTGAGGAGGAGAAGGAAGAAGAAGAGCAGGAGGAGGAAGGAGGAGGAGGACGAAGAGTCTTTTTTTTCACTACCAGCATCCGTGCCAAGACATACGCGCTGGGCATTTGCATTGGAGCGTCGTGGGCCAGATCTCCCCATAGAGGGAAAGATCTCCAGGCGCCCCGAGAGGCTCCTCGACCCACGTGCACAAGTGGGCTGCTTGGGGGTTGGAACTCGGGAGCAATGTGCTGCCCCCGGGCCCGACGGCCCAGACGCCAGTCATACCACATGTTTGCACACAGACGCCGCGCTGCATGCCTAGAGCAGGAGTCACACAACAAGGAGCAGCAGCAGGAGCGGGATCCATGAGGGGGAGGAGGGGTGGGGGGAGGAGGGAGGGGCGGAGGAGGAGGAGGAGGAGGAGGAGGAGGAGGAGGAGGAGGAGGAGGAGCAGGGCAGCAGCAGAAATACCAGAAGCAGAAGGGGGATCAGGAGGAAGAGGTGCAGCAGAGCAGCAGGAGCAGGAGGAACAGCAGGAACAGGAGCGGGAGGAGTAGATTTTTAGAGCGGGAGGAGTGAATGAGGACAAGGGTGATTATGCCGAAGAGGCGCTGCTCGTCGGCCGAATGCCCCAAGACGCCCGCGAGAGCCTCCAGACACGCTCCCGAAATGCCTCAAGAGGCCTTCGATTAGTAGGCCACACCGCTTGCTTCATGGCGTGACTCTATACCTCTCTCTCTCTGATGCTCCTCCCGCTCCTCTTGCTGCTCCTCCCTCTGCTCGGCCAGAGAAAACCAAATCATATCGCACAAGAGCCGACAATACCAGCTCGGATCGCACCTGATCCGACCAGGCCCCAATATAATCTCCTCCTGCTCCTCCCTGACGCAGTTGCAAAGAGACGAATACTTGCCAGGCGTGAGTGAGCTTAATTGTGTTGGCCGCACCATGGTAAACATTGCTTGCGCCTTGGCTGCTGCGGTCAGCAAACCGAGCTTTCGACCTAAGCCTTAGACGATAATACTACATAGCCCGTGTTGCTGGGATCTTAAGCCTGCAGGTGCGGGCGGTCGCGGGTCCTGGAGGTCTCGCTGCCTCCTCTTGTACACCTCCAGGGAATCGCCTGCAACAAAATCGCAGTCCAAGAAATGGCGCATTCCAAGGCACGCAGACGGCAATGCGCACTGCATGATGCACTTCTGCCAAATCCTCCTCGGCCGAATTCGAGCTGCCACGTGGAACCGACTACCTATGCTCGCATCCGTGCCGAGGCCGTATGTCTTGAGATAGCGCGGCTCTCCAGGTCGACGCATTCCCCATCGGAAGGACGAAGACCCGCGGCGCGCCCAGGGAAAGGCAGAGAGGAAACGACGCTCTTTTGCAAAAAAACGAAGGATTGCAAAAAAACGAAGGATTGCAAAAAAAACCGAAGGATTGCAAAAAAACGAAGGATTGCAAAAAAACCTTCGTTTTTTTGCAATCCTTCGTTTTTTTGCAATCCTTCGGGTTTTTTTGCAATCCTTCGTTTTTTTGCAATCCTAGGGTCAGAAGGCCTCCGCTCTTCTGCGGAGGCCTCCGAAGCCCCCTCCGAGGCCACCGAGGGCTCCTCGGAAGGCCAGGGAGCCCCCGCGAAGCCCCGCCCCCCACGGCCTTCTGACAGGACCCGCCCCCCCTCTCGCTTCGCCCCTCGGCGAGCCGCCGACTCGAGGCCGACGCACTCCCCACCGAAGATCAGAGCGCGCTTTTTTTCTTGAGATTCGCGACGACGCCCGTTACTTAACGGGCGAAAAACGGTATAAGATAAACTTTTTCGCCGTCGGGGGCGCCTGCCCCTGGGCGGCTGGAAAGTTTATACCCCTACGGTGCCACCGTAAGGGCATAACCTTTCCAGCCGCCCAGGGACAGGCGCCCCCGACGGCGAAAAAGTTTATTTTATACCGTTCTTCGCCCGTTAAGTTACCGAGGACGCTCCGCCCTCCCCCTGGGAACGTTACACGATTCGGGCCGGCGCCGTCTGGCAGTGACTGCAGTCGGCGTCGATTGGACGGGGCACGCGAGAGGACACAAGACCCTTCCGAGGGCCACATCGCCACAGGAATATGCAGGAGGCACGGGTCGCGAGACACAGGACACAAGGGTACCCTTGAGCTGGCAGGGTCGACCTACTAATCCGGGCCGACGGTAGGAGTGACCAACTCCCAGACGGCGCCGGCGCGGATCGTCACGTGACCCCTGGGAGCCAAAATGCCGTTTGGAAGGGGGGGCGGGGCGAGGGGGGCCGAGCTCTTCAGCGCATCCCCAGGGGGGGGGGTCGGAGCCTCTGCACGACCCCAAGACGGCGCATGAGGTCTACAGTAACCGCATGGGGTCCAACAACGGAGGCCCAAGACGGCGCCGAGAGGCCTCCAAGACGCCCCAAGAACCCTCCAAGACGCCCGCCCAAAGGGCCCCAGGAGGCAAACATCCCTGATTTTCCTAAGTATTTCAAGGACTTGGGCGCTCTCGCCTTTTCGGCTTTCTGACGCTCCAAGACGGCGCAAGAAGCCCCGCAAGACCACCCCAAAACAGCCCGAGAGGCCTCCGCGAGGGCCCCCCAAACGGCCAAAGAGCGCCCCAAGACGGCCCAAGGGGCGCACAAGACGGCCCAAGAGGGCCCCAAGACGGCCCCAAAAGGGGCCTAAGAGAGGGATCACGAAGCGAAAATCCAAGCCTTCCGCCCCGAGAGGCCCGAGGAGGCCCCAAGAGGGCTCCAAGACGGCCCAAGAGGCCCCCAAGAGGGCCTCCAGGAAGGCCCAAGGAGGCCAACATCATTTCCCTTTTGTTTTTGAAGGATTTCGTTATTTGCTTCTTTACGATCTTGCGACGGCCCGAGACGGCCCAAGAGCCCCCAAAGATCGCCCCAAGATCGCCCAAGAGGCCTCCAAGATAGCCCCAGACCGGCTCAAGAGGTGCCCAAGACGGCCCCAGGAGGGCCCCAAGACGGCTGACGGCTCAAGAGGCCTCGAAGACGCCCAAGATGGCCTCCAAGACGGCCCTGGAGCACCCCAAGAGGGCCCCAAGTCGGCCTAGAGATGCCCCCAAGGAATGCCTTAAGACTGCCAAAGAGGCCCCCGAGAAGCCCCCAAATGCCCCCAAGAGGCCCAAGGAGGCCCCCAAGATGCCTCAAAGAGGCTCCTAGGAAGCTCCCAGGAGGCCCCAACAGTGCCCCCAGAGGCTCCCACGATGCCCCCTCCTTCTCCTCCTCCTCCTCCTGATCTTCCCCGACATCCTCCCCCAAGCATTCCCCGAAGGGTTTCTACAACGGTTTGGGGAACACATGGCCCTATAGCTTGGCAGAGCTCTTGCCGCAACGCTCGGCCACAGGGGCGATTCCAAAAGGCAGGGAGCGGCAGTGATTCGCCGTAGGCGTCTTCGATCACCGTGCTCTTTCTCTTCTGTTCCTTCCCTCTTCCTCCGTCCCTTTCTCTGGAGGCCCCTGCAAGGCATCCCACGAGCACCTCAGATGCACCCAAGGAGCTCCTGACCCACCAGGAAGCTTCCAAGATCGCCGCACGCACTCCCGGGGCGGCCGGCGGACTCTCGCCATCCGCTTGACTCGAAAACGGGCTCCCGAAACACAGATCGCCGGTGGCGCGAGAGGTTTCATCTTGTCGCGGGCCCCCCATCGAGTGGGCCACGGCTGGGCGGCTTGGACCCCGCCCCATGCAGCGACGCAATTTCCCTGCATGGCTTTGCTCTGTGGGCGCCCAGCAGCATGGCAACCGATAGCCTCCTCGCGGCCAGTCCTCAGAATGCGGAGCCGCTCGGGTTCTGAGGGGGCGAGCCTCCCTGGTCTTCTCCCTAGTCTTCTAAGAACGCGCGCGCCACACCTCTCGGCCCCCGGCAACGCCCCTCCCCCGAGCCAGGCTTCCTCAGATCACGGGCGCCCTGGATCACCCACCAGAGCCGACTGTTCCGCGCCACCAACGCCACGAGGCCCCGCAACAGCAAACAAGAACGCGTTTCCGAGGCCACGATCCGAAGTACAATCGACGATTCGCGCCCCCGAAGCGGCGATCCCCTACGCACGGCAACGGGTGTGTGCTCCAGGTGCCACGATCCCTGGTAACAAAGACAATGGGTCCGCGCTCCCGAAGGCACAAACAACGCTTCGCAAACCAATAACGCGCGCCCCCGAGGCGGCGAGACAGCGCACGTCATCCCACCAGCCTTTTAGGGCGCGCGTGGTTTAACGGATTTTGTGTTTTCTCTCTCTGCCGAAGCCCCTCCTTCCCCTGTTCGGGGGAGAAGTTGATCACTGCCCCTTATTTATACACGCACCCTCCCCCACCCGACTCTGGGCCAACCCGGGACATGCCCCCCCAACCATCCCCGCCAAAAAACAATACAGAATAGACATGACCTCCAAAGCTGCATGGAGCATGCGCGGGCCCCGCAACCACTCTGCATTGGTTTTTGACAGGGGCGGCGGAGGTACCAGTATGTTGTTTGATGTGCTCGGGTTGCGCGCAAGCCAACCGCCAATCTTGTTTAAGCATGTGGCGAGTATACATCGGATCGTTCTGTACAAAAGCCATCGTTGAATGATACACAATTCCCTTAAACGCTTCGCCAAATAACGTCGGGCCAGACTCAGATGTTTCACATATGCGGCATTACTCTTAACAGTCAGGTCGTTGGCAGAAGAGCGACCACGAGGGGGCGTGGAAACATGTGGAGGAGGAACGATTGGAGACACAATTCGTGGGAGTAGCAGCGCCTTGCGCTGTGTTCGCATTGCAGGACAGCGCTCTGCGCGCTATGACAGCACAGCGCTTTCAGCTAAAAATAGCATGTGCCCGCATGCGTCACAGACAACAGGCAGCTGAAGAAATGATGCGGCACGGGCAACGGACAGCGCCACGCGCTACTCGTTGCGCGGCGCTCGCACACGCCGCGTCACTCTGCTGGCTTTCCCGGAAGCCCACGGAAGTGGAGACACCTTGCAGATCGCAGGCCCCCAAAGGGGCGGCGAACTCTCGTGGTGATCTGCGTAGGACGTACCTCCGCTGGGCCTCCCTGGAGCCCGCGAAAATTGCGACACTTTCGCAAACCGCAGCCCCCCAGGGGACGGCGAGGTCTCGTCGTGATCCGCGTAGGACGTGCCTCCGCCAGGCCTCCCAGAGAAAACCACCAAAGTGGCAAAACTTTCGCAGATCGCAGCCCCCCAGGGGGACGGCCTCGTCGTGATCTGCGCAGGATGTCCCCCCGCTGGCCCTACCAGAAGCCCACGAAAGTGGCGACCGTTTCGTAGACCGCAGCCCCCCAGGGAGCGACGAAGTCTCGTGGTGATCTGCGCAGGACGTCACTCCGCTGACCCTCCCTGGAGTGAACGAAAGCAGCGACAGTCTCGCAGATCGCAGCCCCCCAGGGGGCGGCGAGGTGTCGTGGTGATCCGCGTATGACGTACATCCGCTGGCCCTCCGAGAAGCCCACGAAAGTGGCGACCGTTGCGCAGATCGCAGCCCCCCAGCGGGCGGCTAGGTCTCGTGGTGATCCGCGTAGGACGTACCCCCGCTGGCCCTGCCAGTAGCCCACGAAAGTGGCAACAATTTCGCAGATCGCAGCCCCCCAGGGGGGCGACGAGGTCTCGTGGTGATCTGCGTGGGACGTACCTCCGCTGGCCCTCCGAGAAGCCCACGAAAGTGGCGACCGTTTCGCAGATCGCAGCCCCCCAGGTGACGGCGAGGCCTCGTGGGGATTTGCGTAGGACGCACCTCCGGTGGCCCTCCCAGAAGCCCACGACAATGGCGACTGTCCTTTCCTCCGTGCCTCGGGGCTCCCTCCTCCTCTGCCCCCTCCGTCCCAGGCATCCTTCTCCTCCGCCCTCTCCTCCCCATCCTCATCACCATTTTCGCCGTTCCATCCATCACTGCACCCGCCGATTGTACAGGCCGAGTGCCCAACGACGCTGCACCGAACTGAACCAAAACGGTGTCCTCCTCCTGCTCGTCCTCCTCCTCCGCCTCCTCCTCATCTTCTTTTTCCTCTTCCTCCTCCTCCTCCTCCTCCTCCTCCTCCAATGTATCCTCCCCCCCTGCTCCTCTTCCTTCTCGTCTCGTCGTTCTCCTCACCCCTCCTCCTCGTCGCCCCCCCCCGTCTCCCTTCCTGCCGCCACGCCCCCTCCTCAGCCCCCTTCGCTCCCAATTTGGCAGCCTCCCTCCTCGCCTCGTCCGCCCGTTCTCGCCCTCTTCGCCCTCACCTCCTCTCCGACCGGCCCCTGCTCCTTCTCATCCCCTCGCCTTCCACTTTTGCGTCCCCCTCCCCCGCAGACGTCCCCGCTGATTCCCCCTGCCGCTCGTATGCATCCCCCTTTCTCCTCGTCGTCGTCCTCCTTCCTCATACTCGTATTTCGGCTGCACTTCCTCAACATTATCGTCCTGCTCATCCTCTCCCTTCCCCACCGCCAGCTCCTTTTTCACCTCCGCCTCATCCACCTCGTCGGGTTTACCACAAGCACACCGGATCACCTTTTCACTATCCCTGCTCACCGTCGTCGTTTTCAATTCCTCCGCCTCCTCTTCATCCCTTTCCTCCTCCCTCTGCGTCCTCGTCCTCCTCGTCCTCCTCGTCCTCGTCCACCTCCTCCTCCTCCTCCTCTTCCTCCTCCTCCTCCTCCTCCTCCTCCAGCGAACGAACTGTCATCGCCGCAGAGGGCGACACAAAGATGGGCGGCAGGCGTGCGCGAGCACGCTGGCCCTTCGGAAAGGACAGGAAGTATCAGCGCGGTGCTCTCACCACTCACCTCCATGAGAAATTCACGAACTCATCTTCGTGCTTGTCCCAACCGGCGGTCGTGGCTGCATATGTCCATTGGTCTCACTGTTTAACAATTGCGAGCATGACAAATGCGTCTTCCCATCTGCGAAATCTCCCTGGCCGATGCCTCACCGGCCGCGAACGTGAATGTTTATCTTGGTGGCGCCTCCATTCAGCGTCCCTCCACATCGTGGCTCTTCTTGCCCATCTTTCGTTGTGCACGTTTGTCCATTTTGCCCGCAAATGGGCTTTGTAACTAACAAGATGCTCCTGCGTGCACCTTTTTTGCTCCGATGCGTGGGCCCCTCTCTTCACCCACGTGACGTAGCTAATTTTCGTCTGGCCGTCTTCTGGGAACAACTATCTCCTCCAACGACGAGTCAAAGAAGTACTCCAGATTTCGTAAGAAAGGGAGGGGGGTCTCATTTCGGGGGGGGTCTCTTCCAGGCTATCTTGGAGGGCCTGGGGGGTCTGGGGACGATGTTTTGGAGGGTTCTCCCACGGGGGAGGTCTGAAATGGCTTGTCTTGGAGGTTCCAGACCCCCTCCCTTTGTTACGAAGTCTGGAGTATCCAAGCCCCAATGAAATCAGCTCGACACCCACGATGCCCCCCACGGCCTCCTCCTGCTGCTCCTCACCGCTGGCCTCCTCCGCCGCCAGGCTCCACCAGGTGCCGGGCCCGAGCTGAGTCCTCTCCTTTTGCTCCTCCCTTCTCTCTCTATATGCGCACAGATCTCCACCCGCAGCCCTGCGCTGCTCCCCCCTCGAGTCAACTCGGCACGCCGTTCTCCATGCCGTCCGCCTCCGCCTCCACCTCCTCCTCGTCAACGTGCCCCGCCGCCGGATTCAGCTGGCCGCGAAATCGGAATCGGTCTCGCCGAGCACGACGGCATCGAACTCCTCATCCGCCATCTCCTCTTCCTTCCCCTTCTCAGGCTAGTTGCAAGGCGCCTCTCCGCCTGAAGCGTCAGCTTCCTTCCCCTCCCCCTCCCCCTCCTCCTCCTCCTCCGCCTCCTGCTCCTCCTCCTCCTCCTCCTCCTCCTCCTCCTCCTCCTCCTCCTCCTCCTCCTCCTCTTCCTCCGAAACGCATCGGCTGCCGAGCGCGATTCAGCCCAGCACGACGTCCCTGGCTTTCACCTCCTCGCCTGGCTCCTCCTCGCTCCCCGTTCCCCCCCAGCCGAGCTCAGTCAGGCGCGAAGGCCCAAACGGACACCAGCACGACGCTGCCATCCCCCACACTCCTCGTGCATCTCGTCCTCACTCGGGAAAGAAAAATGGCATGCACATAAACTCTCGGAGGTCTGCGCCGATCCAAGAGATCCGCGCGGACCTCCGAAAGACCTTGTTTGTGCCATTACCCGCTCCCCGACTCCCCGCTTCACGCTTCGCCTCTGCTGACCTCGACTGGCGGCTGGGCCCGAATTCAGCCTGCGCACCTCCTCCTCCTCCTCCTCCTCCTCCTCCTCCTCCTCCTCCTCCTCCTCCTCGGTGGCATCTCATGGGAGCCTCCACTACCATCTTGTTGGCTCTTGCGAATCGACGCTAATCGACGCTAAGTCGACGCTAAGTCGACAATCTATCGGCGCTTCCGCATCGATTACCTGTCAGATCGACGCTGACGCACTCTAAAGACTGAGCTACGAGGGCACACAAGGCTCTCGTGCTCCGCTACCGAACTCCTCCACTACCTGCCCGCACCCCTACCCGCCCGTCGCCGCCGACCGCGGAGGCCAAGAGGCCAAGCAGCACGCACTCGGGTCCTAGCGACCTCCTGCGGCTCCCCCCCGTCCCTCTTTCCATCCCCCTCCTCGTCCTCCAGGAGGAAGAGGGGGGAGGGGGGGAGGGGGAGGAGGAGGAGGAGGAGGAGGAGGACGAGGAGGAGGAGGAGAAGGAGGAGAAGGAGGAGAAGGAGGAGGAGAAACTTATTCTGCTGGGGCGTTTGAAACCTTTTTGGAGGGCCACCAGGGTCCTCCTGCGCCCCCTCCTTGCCTCTCCCCTCCTCGCAGGTCCCCCCCTGCGCGCCGGCTCGTCGGCGGCGGGCCTCGGAACCTGACGCCGCCGACCACGAAGGTCAGGAGGCCGACCAGGAAGAGGATGGCCACCGAGGACAGGAAGATGGTGGCGTAGGTGATCTGGCGGAGGAGGAGGAGGAGGAGGAGGAGGAGGAGGAGGAGGAACAGGATGGCCACCGAGGACCGAGGCGTAGGTGATCTGGCGCCGAAGGACGGGCACGGCAGGCAAGATGGAGGAAGGGTGGTCCCCGAGCGCATTGCCTGGCTACCTCCGCGCACACCTCCCGGAGGCGCCTTCGGCTCTTCACCGTGGCGCTGGACATGGCCGTTGAACTCATGTGCCCGCTTGGCAACCCGAAGAAGGGCGCTCGCCAGGGAGAGGCACGACAGACAGGAGGGGGGGCACCCCGCCCCGCGGGCTGCCCCGAGACTCGTCGGCGACCAAGACGACGATGCGGCGCCCGCGGCATCGCAGGAGGCCACCTCGGGCGGCTCTGCCCACGAGTGGCTGCCCACTTCCGTACGTACCGTCGGGGCGTTGGCCTAAGGAACTCTAAATAAGGAACGAGGCCCCTTTCTCCCACAAGTTGAACTTCGATTTCCCATGGAAAACCTCAGGAAAACCGGAGACAAACTGCAGAACAATCAAGGACCACCGAGCCCCTCCCCCACGAAAAGGGTTCCTTCTTCGGGGCCCCGACTGCAGTCCCTTAGACCCGAGCTTCATGCGGAGCAGGCCGCAAGGCGGGACTCGCCACGCAGCTGGGGACCAAGCTCCGAGAGGCGGCCCGGGTGTCCCGAGAACAGGAGCAGGAACAGGAGCAGGAGGAGAGAGGAGCGAACGAGGATGGAGGTACGAGCGACGAGGGGGTAACGAGGAACGAGCAACGAGGAGTGGTAGGGAGGAGGAGGAGGAGGAGGAGGAGGAGGAGGAGGGAGGAGGAGGAGGAGAGGAGGAGGAGGAGGAGGAGGGAGGAGGAGGAGGAGGAGCTTCGATCTTGGAGGCGGCCCGGGTGTCTGAGCTGGACGGGCCCCGGGAACATCGGCCACAAGGGGATGACACGGGCAAATCCGACCAAAATCGGTCACCGCACCCCTCCCAGGGTCCAACTGGTGCAGCTTCTGGCCCCTGATCCGTTTTTGACAGCCCCGAGGCTCGAAAACTGCTCCCGAAGAGAAAAACAGACAACAAACATTTGTCGAACTTAGCCTTGCCCCCCTTCCTGCTGGCTGGAACCAGTGCTGGGAGGTGGAGGAGGGCGAGTATGAGAGTGGAAGAGGAGGAGGAGGAAGAGGAGGAGGAGGAGGAGGAGGAGGAGGAGGAGGAGGAGGAGGAGAGGGAGGAGGAGGAGGAGGAGGAGGAGGAGGAGGAGGACCTCGTTGGAACTCTTTACTCCAGGACGCTCGTCCCTCCCTCTCCCTCATCTGCTGCGACGTGCACTGGTGCCATCAATCAGAAGAACATGTATCCGCCTCCCGAATCACCCGAGGCCTGAGCTGAGACGCTCCCCTGGCCGTGGAGAGTAATCTCTGGATCTTCGCCTGCGCACGAAGCTCCTTGGCGACCTCGCGCAGTCGATCCCGCCCATTCGTCGCATGGCAGGCTCGGGTGACCTCAGGGGGTGCGCCAAAAGGCCCGACGGGGGGGCGCACCTGCTGAGGCCACCCCGTCCAACTCGCAAGTTCTCCCCCAAGCCTCACCCTCCACTCGAGGTTGATCCCTAGGGGCCGCATGGCCAGCTTGATGGCTCTAGGGGGGGGGGGGGTGCCCGTCGATGGGAACAAGCCACGACGCATGCTGCTTGAGTTCTCAAGCCCGTTCGGGGTCATGCCTGCACAACGCCTGCGCAGGGCGCGAGGGCCCACTGTGGCCTGCAGAAACCACCTTCGGGGATGGACAGACCTCCCTTTAGTAAAACGGGGTTTAGTGAAAACGACCTCGGACCCAAACCTGGCGGGCGCAAGCCTGGAAAATAACGGCCACGGCGCCCTCTCGAGAACCGAAACGGACAATTCACAAATCGACGTGTCACTGTTGGGGGTTCTGTCCACCCCCGACACCTCTCCACGCACGTTAAGGGGTGGGCGGCGTGGACTCCATGCTCCAGACCCGGGCACTGGGAGCAACTCAGGGGCCCCAGAGGTCTCGCGTCCGGGGGGGGGGGCGCACACTCTGACGCCGCGGACGCAAAGAACTTCGTGCTGGGAACCGTACGCTCGCACTGACAGCATCTCCACATGCTGCCGACCTGCTCGGACTGTGAGGAAGCGACCGCTGGCTGCTAGACATTTGTTTGGCCACTGGCGCCCGCGAGACCCGCTCTTCCGTCGCCGACGGGGCAGCCAGGGCCAGGGCCCTGCGCGCGCAGGTCGGAGGGGAAAAGGCGGAGGAGGAGGGGGGACGGAAACTTGAGGGGCGGGGGGCTTGAGCATCACCGCCCCGATGCGCAACCAGGGCACCCGAAAGTGTTAGGCATACGGGTGGCTCCCTTATCTTTTGGGCAAGGCCCTCACCATGCAATCCAACCATATGAGTTGATACTTGCTGGGAAGGGGGGAAGCAGCGACAACAGGACGAGGAGGAGGAGGAGGATGAGGAGGAGGAGGGGGAGGGGAGGAGGAGGAGGAGGAGGAGGAGGGGGAGGGGGGGGGAGGGGGAGGGGGAGGAGGAGGAGGAGGAGGAGGAGGAGGAGGAGGAGGAGGAGGAGGAGGAGGAGGAGGAGGGGAGGAGGGGGAGGGGGAGGAGGAGGAGGAGGAAAGGGAAAAGCAGGAGGAGAAGGAGAAGGAGAAGGAAAAAGCAGGGGCGGTCGCTAGACCAACGCATTTCTCCCACCCTTTCGGTGAGTTTCAATACTTCAGGCCAGCCTTAAAACGATGGTTCATTTAGTGTTGGCACTCAGGGTTTGTGCTTCACCCGAAAAGAGCATACAAAAACACGAGGGTCCAGGGGCCAAGGGGAGGTTTGGGGTGAACCGAAAAACCCTGGGCTCCGGACCAAGAACTGCCACTGCTTGCACCTGCTCTCACTAGCTACCCTTTGCTGCCAGCTTCTATCTACAACACGGGTGTGGAGGTTGGGTAAGGGGATGGGGTTCGGCACACCAAGTCACATCATGCGCTGCAGCTTTCGCCCCAGCCTCCCCCCGTTTTAGCCGCCTTGCATGTGTAGTTCGTCTTTATCCGTCCGGTTTCTTCGTTACCGTTGCTGCTGAGGTTATCGCTCGATCGGTCTCTCTCCCCTCACACCGCCTGGCTGGCGCACACTCTGCGCCCCTCGGGGCTCTTATGTTCTTTTTCTTTTCCGCCCGCCCCTCATTAGGTTCTGCTGCGCCAGCTGGGCGCAAGCTGCTGGCCTGTCCTTGGCCCAAGTAGTTGTTTCCCCATGTCCACAAGGATGGGGTTCTCGTTCACCACATCCAAAAAGGAGGGGGCCTGTGCTCCCCGCCGCCCAGCACTGGTCCATTTTCAGTGGCTGTGACCCGGCGCACGTGCACTCTGCATAGTTTTCTGCACATTTTCTGGCCTTCGTTTTCCATGCCAATGTGTGCCGATGCGCCGTCTAGGCGCGGCTTCTTCTGTCTGTCTGTCTGTCTGTGCTCCCCCTATCCAGAGATTTGGGGGCTCCTGTTCCCCATCTCCAAAAGGAGGGGGCTCTCGCTCCCCGTATCCGTAGCCGCGGGGGCGCCCGCGCGCGCCCGTCAGGACGCAGCGGTGGAGGCCGCAGCCTCGAGGCGGAGAAGAGCGTCTCTGCACCCTCGCCATCGCTCGGACGTCCCTTCCCCGTGCATTTTTCGATTTCGTGCGTGCATTCTCCGCTACATGAGCAAAGATGCTCCTCGATGGTCCCCGCCGAGAAGAAAATGCACACGTCCGAGCGATGCCAAGGTACAGGGACACTCGGGCGGCTTCAGGACTTCGTAAGCACTCAGTGCGTGCTGCAGCCTGATTCCATCGCAGTGGCGGTGGCATCTCCGAGGCAGCACGTCGCGGAGTCGATCGGCAGGAAAGCAGACGTCCGGAGACCTCCGGCTGCCAGCCTCAGGCCGAAATTGCCGCGGATGGAACAGTAGGGGGCCACATGCGAGCCCTACCCCTACCCCCCACGATTTCTGAGGGGGAGGGTGGGGTTCACTTCGCTCAGGAGCTCCCGAACGAAGTGAACCCCACCCTCCCCCTCAGAAATCGTGGGAAGTAGGGGTAGGGCTCGCATGTGGCCCCCTAAACAGCAACAAACGAACGGATGCCCGCGGTCTACGTTGGGGGCGGCGCGCCCGCTCACGCCAGCCGGCCCGAGCGACGCAGACCTTGCCAACCGAGGCGCCACTACGCGGACAGCTGACCCTGAGGGGTAACATCAGCGGGCGGGGGGCCATCGGGGACCCCCAAGCAGTGTGGTGACCACACCGTGTGGTGAGCTGGTGGGGACTCGAGGTCACGGGTTTGAAGGGGCCCAAGGGACATTCCAAGAAACGGACACTAAGAACAGGATTCCCCCCATTTTCCCGCATTTCCTGGGGCTTCGTCTTCCCCCCCCCCCACTTCCCAGATCTTTTCCCAGATCTTCCTGGGAGTCCACGATTACTTGTGCCTGTGTGTCTCTCTCCCTCCCGAGGTTTTAGGACTCGGGCCGCGCCCCCCCGTCGGCCGGGCCGCGCGCTCGGGCCCCTCCGGAGGCTCCGACGTCGCCGCGCTGGGCCGCCACCGCACGGCTCTGGGACCCCCGAGGCCAGCTCCCGGGGGGGGGGGGAAGCACCCGCTCGGCATCGGCGATGCCGCGCCGACAGCCTCGCGATGGGCCCCCGAGAGCGAATCCGCACGAGGCGAGCGCGTTCCACTGCTCGCAGAGTGGCTGCTCGCAGACCGCCTGGGTCCGCCGCGGGGGATCTGCGAGAAGTCAGGTCGGAGCAGACATGCGTTTTTCGGGCGTTTGCGAGTGGGCACTTTGCGAGTCGTGGAGCGCGCCCCGTGACGCGCACGGTCCTGGGCGGAGTGGGCCATCGGGCCCCTGTCGGCGATCAGTGGGCGATTGGGGGGTCGATGCATCCCCCCTGAGCCTGTCCCATCCCCCCCTTACCGTTGCCCCTCAGGTGAGCGCTGAGATCGCCATCCGCCTCTTCGACGGGTCGAGGCCTTCCGGGCGTGGCCCAGAGGGAGCCTGAAAGTGTGCAGCGTGTGCCGGAACACGCCGGCGAGCGACGGTCACACCTACCGCGACCTCACGCCCATGCAGGCGAACGCCCCCGATGCCTGGAAGCACGCGCTGCCCCTGATGGCGGCAGCCGCCCAGCTGGGACGGAGCGTCGCTCCCCGTCGCCTCGATCTTAGACCCCTCTGGCCTGCGGACCGCAGCCCCTGACCCAGACCGAACCGAACCCAGGCCTCCGATGGTCCGACGGCCGCTCCCAGCCGCCACGACCTCGAAGGTACCGTCGGCTTGGCCGCCCCGCCACACGGAGCACAGCACGCAGCGCGCGGACACGGAGCTCGACACGCAGGCCGAAGACGTGGGCCCGACGCGGTGCGTCAACGCCAGAGCGCGGGGGCGGCACGCCTCCACGGGCTCCGACGCGCCCCGAGGGCGGCGCACCCGCGGCGGAGGCGACGGCAGCTCGCCGAGCACCCCCGCCCGAGGCCGCCGCCTGCGTCTCGCGGGCGCGCGGCGCGCGGGCCCGAGGCCGGGCGCGCACGCCGTCGCCGACGGCCGCTCGCGCTGGCCTCGCGCCGCGGGCGTGCCGAGCCGACACGCAGCTCCAGGCGGCCTCGACCTCGACGACACATCTAAAGGGGCCCCAGGACACACAAATAAATACACACAAATAAAAGGTTCCCCATATTTCCCCATATTTTCCCATATTTTCTGGGGAGTCGACGATTAATTGTGTCTGTGTGTTTTTTCCCTCCTGAACATCGTCGGATGCCTGCAGAGCCTCGACGGCGCGTCGCCGGATATGTCTGCGGCCCTGGCCGCCCGGCAGCGCCGGCAGGCTTGTGGGCACTATGCCGGCCGATGCCCGGCGTGGGCGCGGCGGCACGGCCGCTCGGCCGCCAGCAGCAGCCAGCAGGCCGCGGCGATCTTCGCGCCCGACGGGGGCTCCACTTCTTCATCCTCCTCCTCTTCTTCCTCCGCTTCCTCCTCCTCCTCCTCCTCCTCCTCCTCCTCCTCCTCTTCGTCCTCCTCCTCGTCCTCCTCCTCCTCATCCTCTTCGTCCTCCTTCTCCTCCTCCTCCTGTAGCCGTAGCTGTTGGCTTTCGCGATCTCCCCTTGTCGCACCACTTATGACCTTGAAATTTAACAATGAGCAACTGGTTCACGCATGGAGGGCGGGCGGTTTTCAAAATGTGGCTCTCGCCTTTAGCACCGCGGAGATTCGTCGTAAACATGTGCAAGAGGTTCGCGGATTGAGGGCGGAGGGTTTCGCACACTCGCCTTACAAACTTGCAAGAGCTTCACGGATTGAGGGCGGGCCGATTTCAAAATGTGGCTCTCACCCTTGCGCTGCGCACATTCGTCTCAAATATTTGCAAGGGTTTCACTGATTCAGGGCGTTCCTTTTCAAGATGTGGTTCTCACCATAGCGCCGCACACATTCGTGTTAACAAGTTGCAAGAGTTTGACGGATTTCCATGGTCAACGTACCAGAAATTGTCTTTTGGAGCGATTCAGGACTGTTAAGGAGCAACAATTGCGTTGATTCGCGGTGTCAAAGTTCTGAGAGTGGTGCTCTGGCACGATTCAGGATCGTCAATGCGCAACAGTCAGGTTGATTCGTGGCGTTGGAGTCCCGAGAATAGTGTTTTGACCCAGGGTCTTCAAACAGTTGTCTCCCAACGGGACAATTCCCTCAGTGGAAATGAATCCTTGTATGGGGCGTGTGAAGAGGGAGATTGGAGGGAGGGTTTATTCCAACATTGTTGATGAATCTTGGGTTTACGTACACTGGTTCTCCTCCTCCTCCTCCTCCTCCACCTCCTCCACCTCCCTCTCCTCTTCCTCTTCCTCCTCCTCCTCCTCTCCTCCTCTTCCTCCTCCTCGTCGTCGTCGTCCTCCTCAACCTCCTCCTCCTACTCCTCCTCATCCCCTTTGTTCCTCCTCCGCCTCCTCCTCCTCCTCCTCACTCCTCCTCCCCACTCCTACCCTGGACTGGCCTCATCCCAATCCTGCATCTCCCCTCGGATCTGGAACCATGACCTCGCAAATCATACAGAATCGGCGTGATCCTCGAACTCAACTTCAAACTCGGCGGATGCTGGCGAGAGATAGCCCCTCGCCCCCCATCTGCTTTCGTTCGACTTCAGAAGTAACACATGCTTTACTCTGTGGCCACCAACATCCCACACACTCTGCAATCACATCGAACACACAACCGTCGCCAAGGCTCTACCGGCAGATGTCTAGAATCATTGGGTTCTGAAATCGTATCAATATTTTCGGAGGGCTCGTCGGCGTCAGCAGCAGCTGGGCGTCGTCTGTACAACGTACGACAGGCTTGTGTCGTGACGACTGCGGCGTTGGTTTCTGACACCACCTGGGTCGCTCAAACTTGAACGATCGGCGGCTGTTCGATCGCCAGTCCGTTCCATACTGGCCGATTCTGGGCCACTGGCGGCGTTCAACCTTGAACGTCCGCGCTGCGGGTCGTCGCCGCGTCGATACGACACGAATCCACAAGATGCAATGACAGGATCAAGCGGACGCCTGGATCGACGTGGGATTCTGGATGAGCTCCTGCGTCTCGCCCGCCCACTTGGTGATTCGCCCCTGCACCGAGGTGTCAACCCTGCCCGAGCGAGCCGTAGCCATCAGCTCCTTGCAGTGTGCATGTTCGGCGGCGCGCCCCGGGGGAAAGCAGAGGGGGCGGGCCTTCTCAGAAGACCCAATCGCCGCTGGTATTCTGAGAAGATGTCGGAGCCGGTTCCGAAGCCCCGCCGCCTTCTGAGAATGCTCGCGTCCTCTCATTTCCTCCCTCGGGGCAAACCGCCAACATGTGGGAACGCAGCGCGGTACGCGGGGCAAGTAGATCCCATGGAATATAACAACAAAACACTCTGGCTGGAGAAGCAAAACAAGGATGCTCAACTGACAGGCTCGCCACCCCCCACCTCTCACGCCAACAGCATGAACACGACGCATGATCATGATGCGTCACCAAGTCGTTTTGACAGTCGACATGAACCCGTAATGATCCCCCGATCGGCGCAGGTCAATTCGGAAACAGCGATTACATGTGCGGAATCGCGCCCCCCTCGCGGACGCGACGAACGCAGGTTGCCAATGATTCGAGACCATGTGCAATCGGACCGGGGCGCGAACAGAAGAGACAACCACACACATAGATCCCACATACGCATACACATATACATACCCACATACAAACATACACATATATATATATATATATACATATTTTTGTGCACATAAACATATACGCACGGTATTGTCCAGCGAGGACCTCCGACTACGGATGTTTAGCAATCAGAGTGGGGCAACCTAGTACTACAGCCTACGTGGCAAATCGACGTGGTACAATTTATGTGGTGCGTTCTCGTGTGTTGCAATGGATTTTGTCACAAACGATTTGACACATCCCGTGCTCTTGCAAACATCCCACCCACCCACCCGCAACTTGGTTTGCAAAAACCCATGCGGTGGCGATTGCCATGCATGCTTGGCGTTGGCTGGTGCCTCTCTGCGGTCGCGCCAGCCCTCGCACGCGCGTGCCGCGGCCAGCTAGTCTGGCGCCATCGACGCGGCCGCGGTGGCGCTGACCGCTGGGCGCATCCCAGCGGGCACTTCACCGCGAGTCGGCGACCTGGGCGGGCGCGGCATCATGAGAACGTCGACAACGGTTGACACAATGAGGGTACTAGCGATGATGGTGGCGATGTTCGCACCGACGAAGGCGCGGGCGGCGCGGGCGCCGATGCTGATCACGCCGGCGACGATGACGGCGTTCTCGCGTAATTCGCTGATGAAGGTTTTGGAGAGAGCTCGACATGCGCGCGCGGCCAGCGCGCGAGTGTGGCCCGCATGGTTTTATTTGACACGGATCGTGCCCCCCCAGCACGCGCGCAAGAGCGCGCGAATGATGTCGGCATGCGGCGCCAGAAACCCGCCTGGCAGAATGCAATGAACATGTTCCAACACCAAAGGCTTTCCTCCGGATTCGCAAGAGCGCGCGCGCAAGTTTTGTTTAAAAACTGATTCTGCGAAACCAAACGTTTTTGAATTCTAGTTGGGCATTCGGTTTTAAATTCGCTACGATGCCAAAACGGTTTTTGAAGGATTTCGGCATGCGCGCGCGACGACGCGCGCGCGCACTTCGCCCTATTTGTTGCAGGGGGTTCTCGCGACCGCACGCGCGCAAGGGCGCTGGGGTGATTTCGACATGCGCACTCGAAGTCCGTTTGGTAGCGTGTTCTGAAAATGTTGAAAAACCTGCGATGTCCCGAAGTGTTCTGAAGAGCGCACACACACATATATATATATATATGTATATGTACATGCATATATATATATATATATATATATATATATATATATATGTGTGTGAATATATACATATATATGTGTATATACATATACGAGAGAGAGAGAGAGAAAAAAAAAAAATCGCGTTGCGAAACCATGTGTTTTTATATCTGATTTGGCCACTCGGTTTTGACATACTTCCGAAACCGATGTTTTTTGAAAGATTTCGGCATGCGCACGCGACGACGCGCGCGCGCGTGCAGTTCGCCCCGCTGTTGCAGAGGATTCTCGCGACTGCGCGCGCGCAAGGGCGCTCGGGCAATTTCGACATGCGCGCGCGAAACCCGTTTGGTAGCATGTTCTGATTCTTTATGAAACAACCCACGATGCCCCGATGCGTTCTGAAGAGCGCTTATATATGTATGTATGTATGTACGTATGTATGTATGTATGTATGCATGTATGCATGTATGTATATATGTTTGTATACATATATATATATATATATATACATATATATATATATATGAGGGAGAGAAAGAAAGAAAGAGAGAGAGAGAGAGAGAGAGAGGAAGTGAAAGAGAAAAAGAAAGATATACAAATATATATATATATATATAGAGAGAGAGAGATAGAGAGGAAAATATAATAAAAATTCGCGTAGCGAAACGACATGTTGTAAATCTGATTTGGACACTCGGCTTTGGCATACTTCCGAAACCTATGGTTTTTGATGGATTCCGGCATGCGCGCGCGACGACGCGCGCGCGTGCATTTCGTCTGTTTGTTTGTAGGAGGTTTTTTTTTTTGTTTTTTTTTTTTTTGCAAAAAAATATACTATTTGGTAATTGAATGCGCGCGCGTGCGATTCTTGTAGAGGATGGCGGGGGGGGTCGAACCCGGCTGGGCCGGGATGGCATGCATAATATTTAAGGCGGACGGTGGGCCATTCCACTGCTCGCGCAATCACCCCGCCCACCCGCCCGCAACTTGGTCTGCAAAACCAGCTCGGTGATTCCGATGGATGCTTAGATTTGGCTGGCGCATCTCCGCGGCCGCGCTCGCCCGCGCATGCTCGCGCGCACAGCGGCCAGATCGTCTGGCGCTACCGACGCGGCCGCAAAGGCGCTGATTGCCGGGCAGTTCCCAGCGGCCACTTCCGCGCGAGTCGGCGACGCGAGCTGGCGCGGCACCGCGACAACGTCGACGACGGTTGACGCGACCAGGGCGCTAGCGACGATGGCGACGACGACGGCGAGGCAAGCGACCGTGCCGATGCTGATCATGCCGGCGACGACAACGGCGTCTTCGCGCCAGCGATGAGGGCCCTGGAAAGAGTTCGAGATGCGCTCGCAGCAGACGCGCGAGAGTGGCCCGCATGGCATCATTTGAAACGGATCGCGCCCACCCCCCCTCGGCGCGCGCAAGGGCGTTCGAATGATTTCGACGCGCGGCGCGAGAGGCTCTTGTTGACGGCTTCCGGATGAGTTCGCAGGGGCGCGAGCAAAAACACGCTCGAAAACTGATGTTGCGCAACCGCGCGTTTGTATGATTTTCGGAGCACTCGGTTTTGAACCCCCACTGGGGCCGATGGTTGTTGAAAGATTTCGGCGCGCGCGACGACGCGCGCGCGCACTTCGCCCTGCTCATGGCGAAGGGTTCATGCGACCGCGCGCGCGCGTGGGCGCTCGAGCGATCTCGACATGCGCGCGCGAGAACCACGTTTGGCAGGATTTGATCAACATGTTGACAACCGAGCGGTTTTCTTAAGAATCTGTAGGAGCGCGAGCGCATTTTGCGTTTTCTCGTGAATGTTCTCATTGCGAAATCAAATTCGTTCAATGTGTTTTCGGTGCGCTGCGCTTAAAGATGTATCTTTGTTGCACCTCGTCTCGTCTTTTCGCCGGGGATTCTTGGCAGCTGATGATTGTTGATAAACGATTGCGCGCGCGTCGTATTTTACCGAAGATGATGGGGCGGCGGGGGGGCGACGCTGGCCTGCGTGGGACGGTGCAAATTCACGCTGAGATGGGCGGCGAGGCAGGGCCGCGCGAAAAAACTGCAGTGCGCGAGCGGAGGCCGCTCAGCGGCGGCGGCGGTGCTGGGGGGGGGGAGGTGGATCCGAATGCTCATGAGAGCGGCGACGACGGTGACAATGCGGGCGATGACGGCGGCAAAATTAATGACGGCACTGATGCTGATCACGCTAGTGACAATGACGGTGTCCTCGCGTCGGCGATGGAAACTCTGGAAGGACTTCGACGCACGCGCGCGGCCGGCGCGCGCGAGTGGCCCGCGCGGCATTTTTTGAAACGGATCGCGCCCCCCCCCGCCCCAGCACGCGCACGAGGGCGTTCGAGTGACATCGACATGCGGCGCGAGAGGCCCAGTTGGCCGCATTTGATGAATCGTTTTTTTTTTTTTTTTTTTTTTTTTTTTTTTCAGCGCATGGTTTTCTTTCAAACTTGCACGAGCGCGCATGTTTGTTTTTCCCAACCATGCTGCGGTGCTGGGCCTTCGTTTTGAATGGGCGGCCCCCTCCCCTCCTCTCCTCCCCCCCCTCTACCCCTCCCCCCCCCTCCTCCCACCCCCGTCGTAATCATCATCGTCGTCATTATCACCACCCTCATCGCCATCGTCATCGCCCTCACCATCGCCACCGTCATCGCCATCAGCTTCGGCGCGCGCCTCGCACGTTTCGCGGCCCCATAGGGAGCTCCATTCATGGCCCCATTGGCGCAGTTCGCATGGCGGCGCCGCCCCATTTTGGCACGCTTCGCGGCCCCATAGGGAGCCCCACCTAGGATCACAGCGGCGCGGCTCGCATGGCGGCGCAGCCCCATCTTGGCACACCTCGCATGTTGCGTGGCCCCATAGGGAGCTCCATCTAAGACCTCAGCGGCGCAGTTCGCATGGGGACGCCGCCCCATTTTGGCGCGCACCTCGCGCGCTTCCTGGCCCCATAGGGAGCTCCACTTAAGTTCCCAATGGCGGAAGTCGCACGGCGGCGCCGCCTCATTTCGACGCGCGCCACCCCCCCGTGTTTCATGGCCCCGCAAGGAGCTCCACCTAAGGCCCCAGCGGCGCAATTCGCATGGCGGCGCCGCCCAATTCCGGCGCGCCCCCCACGCGCTTCGTGGCCCCACAGGGAGCTCCACATAAGGTCCCAGCGGCGCACTTCGCATGGGGGCGCCGCCTCATTTAGGCGCGCCCCTCGCACGCGCGCTTCGCGGCGCCATAGGGGGCCCCACCTAAGGCCCCAGTGGCGCAATTCGCGCGGCGGCGCCGCCCCATCTCGGCACGCCCCTCGCGCGCTTCGCGGCCCAATGAGGGGTTCC